TAATCTCCTATCAACCACCACCGGAAAATCAGTGCAAGCAAAACTCTCTAAAGGCAACCGTGAGGCTCAACGATGGTATCTCATATTGCTCAACATGAAAACCCCACCGCCACATCCCACGGTCCAAAAAGGACAGAAGATTGTTTTAAAAATGGAAAAAGTTAAAGCAGTTGAAGAATTGACCTGATTATTAACTTCAATTTATGGTCCTTAATTAATTAATCTTGAAAAAATTTTGAAGATTTTCCTTTACTAACCAAAAAATAGAAAACATTTTTTAAAGAAAGATTTTGTTAAGTGGCTCCAAATGTTAAAAAATAATTTTTAGAAAAGAAAGATTTTTTTATGAAAATTATTTTTTGAAATGAAAACATTTTCTGTGAGTCAAACTGACCTTTGTCTCGGTTGAACCTGTTCCACCAGCGGGAACTGCGCAAGAACCTCCTTGAATCCATCTTCCTTCAAGAATACTTCAGGCTTGTATGAAGTGACAGAGCACCAGGAATGTTCAGCCTGAGTGAGCTTCCATTTCTCGCTGTCAGCTCAACAAATGGGATGTTACCAGTTTCCATGACTTTGATGTCTTTTCCGGCCAAATTGCCCATCAAGATTCAACAGTCTCTGGAACAGGAAGGGTAGTAGATGGGGATGCAGACGCCGTAGGTATTCTGAGTTTCGAAAGGGAGAAGTAAAAAGAAGCCATTTGAAGTTTGGAGGAAGTGAAGAAGAAAGAAAGAAGACTGCAGCAGTAGACTAGCCGACTGACTCAGGGCACGCACAACAGAGAACAATTAAAAAAAAAAAAAAAACAAGCTTACTTTGACGTCATGTCTTTATAATTAATATTATTTTATATAAATTTATATTTGGTTAAATGCTAAATTTGGTCCCTCAACTTTAGTGAGTTGCACATTTTTGGTCCCTTAATAATTTTTTGCACTTTTTTGATCCCTCAACTTTAAGAAATGCATACCGTTAGTCCTTCTGTCAATTTAGACCGTTAACTACGACACGTGGCATTTTTTATAATTTTTTTGATGACATGGTAAAAACAATTTAAAAAAGAGTTGATTTGAAATTTTTTTTAAGACATGTCATCGTCAACTCATAAACCGATTTTACCTTAATAAAAAATAAAAAATTACAAATTTACCCATCTCCCTTTCTTGAACCATCTTCTTCCCCTCTTTCGATCATCTTCTTCCTTTCTTTTTTTTCTTTTTCTTTCTTCCTCTTCTTTCTTTCTCTTCTTCCTCTTCTTTCTTCCTCTTCTTCTTCTGTGCTGGGTTCGGTGGAACCCAGCAACTAGGTTCGGTGGAACCCAGCAACTGGGTTCGGTGGAACCCAGCAGATCTGGGTTCGGTAGATGGGTTCGAGGATCCCAGTTTGCTGGGTTCCAGCTGGGTTAGGTGAACCCAAT